GGGGGGAGGCGGCCGAGGGCTGGAGGCCGGGCCCCAGGCGAGGGCGTCGGGGCGCTTCTGGGGCGGGGACCGCTGTGGCCTAAGCCGTTCTGGTGGCAGAGGGACAGGCTGGCTGCTGGGGGAGGCCTGGGGCTCCCAGACTTTACCCCAGGAAGCCGCCCTGGACCCAAAGCTGCCCCAGCCCCAGGAGACCCACATCAACGCCCCCAGACCTAGAATGCTGGGCCCCGAGGGCAGAAAGGGCACCCCCGGGACAAACCCTCTCTGGGCACACAGGGAAACTGAGGCCCCGTCCCTGGCCAAGGTCACAGAGCAGCAGGACCAGGATAAGAGGGGCGGCTGAGCACTGGGCCCTGGGCAGCCTGGCACCTGGGCTGGGTGAGGGGGCCTCTGCCACCAGGCACCGACTTGGGTCTCCAGCACAGTGACCTTGCCCACTGTCCCCTGTCTTATCTTCCGCAGCCTGTGCCCTGCGGGGCACACATGCTTTCCTCACCTGCTGTCCCCCTTGCTCTTGGGGACAACTAGGGTGGCTACAGGATCTCTCCCTGAAGTCTGCGGTTGAGACTGGACCCCAGGGCCCTCTCTCAGATTCAGTTTCCTCTGTGGAATGAGAACTGGAACTACCAGCCGGGCCTGACAGGGACATCCTGCAGGTGCAGTCCTGGTGGAGAGGCCACGCTTGGGGGCTCCCGGGCTGTTGTGATTGTTTTGTCATTATACCCGTGTGCCCACCCCTTCCATTCCACAGATTCCGGGCCTCTCCAGAACCTTGCCCAGACCATCTCAGAATGCCTCCTGGCCCCGACTCAGCACAGTCACACTGGAACGCCCAGGTGGGGCCTGGTGCTGGCCAAGACGGAAAGGCAAATATTGGGAGAGGAAAAAAGAACCCCTGGCCCTGTTGACAACACTTCCTACTTGTGCCTGACGTGTGGCTGACACTTTCTGTCCTTAGAAATGCTTATAAACTTCTGAAACGATGTGTCCTGTTTGGCAATTCATTCCACCTCCTTTTTGTGGCTGTATAGTATTCTGTGAAACACGTACCTACAATCAGTTATCCAGTCCCCAATACATGGGCATACAGGTTTGTGTCCAGTTTTGCCCTCTGTCTTCTGGCTGCAGAAGACAAACTGACCGCACACAGCAGGCATCATTATTGCCATCAAGGGGTCCCTGCACTGAGAGGCACCAAGGGGACAGGAGTTGGTTGGGCACCTCTAGGAGGCTCCATCCCCTCTAGAGGAAAAAGCAGGTTAGGCCCTGATGGAGCCAGAGCTGGGTGAGGGAAAAGGCCTCAGGGAAGCTGGCACCCAGGGACCTCGTCCTCATTCTCCGGGGTAGGCCGCTGCCTGACCTCTGGGGCCCAGAGATGTCCAGGGCCCAGGGAACAGGATGCAGTGAGGGCTTCCCCAGTGGGCCTCGTCTGTGGACTCAGGAGCTCCCTCCTGGTGTCCCTCGGTGCCTTCTGTGGCCCTGGTCCCTTGCCTCCTTCTCCTCTCCAGACTGCCTCTGTGAACCTGGGGGGGGGAGTCACACCCTCAGATAGAGCCTAAGCCAGCAGCAGGGAGGGGCCTGGGGTCCCCGTGGAGTGCGGCAGGCAGGGCCCCCTCCCCACTGAGGCTCCCAGGTGGCTTGGAGCCGGGCACCAGTTACAGCTGCCCCATTGCACGTACCAACACCTGGGGCCTCAGCTTCCCAATCTGTGATAACAACACCTGTCCCCCAGGGGCGTGTGAAGATTGCAGGGGCCTGCGGGTTCTCAGGCAAGGCTGGCTGCTCCTCAGCCCTTTCACTCATTTCTTTTCCTTTTTTTTTTTTTTTTTTTTTGAGCTGAGGTCTCTATGTCACTCAAGCTGGCCTCCACCTCCTGGGTTCCAGGATCCTCCAGCCTCGGCCTCCCGAGTGCCTAGGCTGCAGGCGCACCACTCCATCCGCCTTATGGCTTTGATTTTCATTCCTAACGATGACTTTTAAAAAATCTGAAGCAGGGCTGGGGATGTGGCTCAAGCAGTAGTGCGCTCGCCTGGCATGCTTGCGGCCCGGGTTCGATCCTCAGCACCACATACCAACAAAGATGTTGTGTCTGCCGAAAAAAACTAAAATAAATAAATAAATTCTCTCCCTCTC